AATGCCTCACAGCTCTTACTACTACTACATTTGGGATCAGTATACAACATAAGAATATGAGGGGAGCACAAACATTCATACCTTAATAACTGCAATGAATATTGTTTACAAATCTTTGTGTGAACATATATGTTCAGTTCTTTTCTGCATACGTCTAGGAATAGAATGTTTGATCCTATGAAATTCAACATTGAACTCTTTGGGGAACTGTCATAACTGTTTTTCAGAGTGGTGTATCATTTCCATCCATTCCCACTAGCAATGTATGAGTGTACCAGTTTCTCTCTGTCCTTACCAATACTTATTTTCCACATTTTAATGGTAGCCATCTTAGTGCTTATGAAGGGTGATAGTCTCATTATGCTGTTGTTTTGTTTTTGCAGTATATTTTTTATACTCAGATATACCAGGAATACACACAGTTACATTTTCCAAAATTAATCATTCATTAGTTCTACACAGTTTATTCATGCAAATTGCAGTCTCCAATTCCCCTCCCTTCCATTTCAACCAAGGGATTCTCCCCTGACACATTTAGCCCCATTTAGCAATCAGTATCTGAAGACTCGTTTGATTGTTAAACTGAGGGAGTGCTGCTGTAGACATCTTGTACATAGAGGTCAGGGATACAGCTCATCATCTTACAAATGTACAAAATAGCCCAAAAGAACAAACAGTTATCTGGCCCAGACATTAATAGTTCCTAGGTTTGAGAAACCCTGATTTTACCATTTCTTTCGTTACTTACCTCCACATCTTTGAGTAAACTTGCTGCATCATCTTTTTCAGTTTTTTTGTTTTGTTTTATTTTTTGTGGTACTGGGTTTGAATTCAAGGGCCTGGTGCTTGCTAGGCAGGCACTCTACCCTTGAGCCACTACGCAAGCCCAACTGCCAGCCGCCTCTTTATGTGGGTTGGTTGTATTTTTCCAGAATCAGTGTCTCACAAAACTGTTTCCTGAGCTGGCTTCAACCGTGACCCTCCTGATCTCTGCTTCCTGAATAGCTAGTGAGCCACCAGTGCCCAGCTAGGAGTATATGTTTTTAAAAGGTCCTTAGATACCTAATGCATATCTAGGCTTAGGAGGCCACTTTCTTAGAGGTTGTATAAAGATTAGGAAAGCATTCATTCATTCAATAAATATTTATTAAGCAATTACATCATGCTAGACATTGCTGGACACTAACAATAGAAATGAAAAAATCAGGTGCTTTGTCCTAGAGTTACTTATTACTAAATGGTTGAAACAGGAGATAGAGGGCAGAGAATTACAATTTAGTTGAATAAGTGCTCTTTTAGATTAACACCAATAAGACATGAGTTTCCTTTAGCTGGGATGACTAAGAATGACTTTATGGCTAATTTAAAACTAAGTTAAAAATTTGAGCCTGGGGGTACAGCTCAGTGGCAGAGCACTTGTCTTACATGCTCAAGGACCTAGTTTGATTTCCAGCACCACTGGCCTTAAAAAAATAAAATAAACAGGAGTTTTTCAAAAGAAAAAGTATATCCTAGTAGGAGGGAGCAGTATGTATAAAAGCAAGGAGTTATGAAGGTCTATAGCATATTCATGGAATGTTGAGTAGAATGATGTAGTATGGTACTTGTGGTAGACAGTGGAGAGAACTAAAGCTGGAGAGGTAGGTTGAGGGTGGATTTTGAAAGACCTCATAATAAGGAGTTTATTATTTTAAAGGACCTTGTGATAAATTTGATTTTTATATTGCAGTCTGTAGGAAGATAGCAGACTTCTCCTGATAGAGGAGTTGTCTGTTCAAGCATGATAATTTGTTTGAAGATGAAAATAGAGATGTCAGCAAGGACTGTGGCTTGTAATAAGGAGAATGGAAACTGAGAAACCTTTGAGGAGGATTCTATTGTAGTCTAATTGAGAAATAATGAAGATCAAATTTAAGACAGTTTTATAACCATCCAGTGAATACATCATTTACTATATTTTCTAGTAGAAATAATTGTTTATAATCATTTTCTATTGATTTTTCTAGGTTTGAAGTTCTGAGTTTTCTCATGCTATGCTATAATTCTGCCATTGTATATATGCCTGCCTCATCTTACCAGTCTCTTTGTCGGATGGGCTCCAGGTGAGAGGAATAATTATTTTTAACTTTCATGTTCATTCAATTATTTGACAAATATTTATTGAACATATTCTCTATGCCAGGGCACTGTTTAACATCTCATGATACAATAAACAAAACTCATGCAACTTACATTCCTATAGGAATCCTTGTCATCTCATGACTTCTTGAAAATTATTTTAGCATTAAAGGAGTATTTTGTAGCTAAGAAGGAGTTAGGTCAAGATATCTAAGTATAGGATTGTTTAGTGATATATATACCTAATCACACCATGAGTGCCACTTTTTATAAATCATGTTTAGAGTTTTGAATACATAGACCTATGGGTGGGAACTACTGGAGTTTGAACTCAGAGCCTTGTGCTTGCTAGGCCAGAGCTCTACCACTTGAGCCATACTGCCAGTCCTTTTTGCTTTATTTTTTGAGTAAGTTCTCATTGGCCTGGACCACAATTCTATTTGTCCTCCCCATGTAACAGAGATGACAGGTGTGACTATACCCCCTTTTTTTTTTTTAATTGATTGAAAGGTCTCACTACCTGTTTACCTGGGCTGGCGTTGAATTAAGATTCTCCTAATCTCCATCTCCCAAGTAGCCAGAATTACAGGCATGAGTCACTCAGCCTGGCTTGAACCTTTTCCTTTGTACACTTCACAAATAACCATCTCTGTGCTGGAAAAGACTAACATCCGTACCAATTATCTCTGTGTATGTGTGTGTTGATGGGGGAGGAGGGGTTCTTTGTGTCTCACAGATTATAATCTGTATTAAATCAAAATTTCTAATGATTTAGACAGGCCTGGATGAAATTTAAAATTCCACTACAGAACAATATTAGGTAATATAAATTAGTTTAGAATCACAGAATTTTAATTCTGGGTTTATTCTAACTGATTTTTTTACTTCAGGAAATCAAACCCCTTCTCAAAAGTTGTATTAGCTTTCTGTTGTTGCATAACAAATTACCATAAATTTAGCAGCTTAAAATACCACACACTGTTTTAGGGGTGGGGACTAATGAGAGTGGGGTTTGAACTCCAGGCTTCATGTTTGCAAAGCAGGCACTCTACTGCTTGAGCCACATCTGCAGTCCTCACACATTTATTATTTCATTTTCTGTGAGCTAGGAATCTAGGCATGGCTTAGCTGGGTCCTCTGTGTAGGGCCTTACAGGGCTACAGTTACAATGAGGCTTTAGCCTCATCTGAGGTTAAACACTTTTGTTGGCAGAACTCTGTTCCTATGGTTGTAGGACTGAGGGCTTCAGTTTCATTGTTTTTCCATTCTTTTTTTTTTTATTAGTGTATATTGTATAAAACAGTGAGTTTCATTATGACATTTTCATACATGTATGTAATATACTTTGGTCATATTTACCCTTGTTTTGGTTTCTTGTTAGCTGTCTGCTGGAGTCCATCCTCAGTTCCATATCACAGCGGCCTTCAACATAGGGAACTTATGACATGGCAGCTTGCTTCTTCAAAACCCGAAAAAACTGAGGACTCCAGCAAGAGCTATTACCTTATATAATGTAATCACATAATCATGTACACATAGTTGTGGGATCTATCACCTTTGCTGTATTCTGTTGGTTAGAAGCAAGTCACAGGTCCCACTCTCAAGTGATAGGGGAATGTCATAGTGCATAAATACCAGAAAGGAGGATTGATAGGGATCATCCTGTCCCCCACCCCGTCAAGAGTCTGTCTATGACAAATACTTTGTTTAGGTTCCCATTGTTGTATTACTGGGAAGAGAGTATAATCCTATCTATTATAAAACTAATTTGTTTTGCTAATTGGCAAAAGTCCAATCTAAATTAAGTAGTAACTTCAATTTTACAGATTATGCAGATAAACTTACTAAGTGACTGTTTTTGATTCATCAAAAGAAATCTGCCAGTTCTCTTTTTATGGCCTTCAATAGAGTTTCTTAATAACAAAAGTGATAGCAGAGTTTTTAATAGTTCCCAAACTTGTTTGCATATTCCCTAAAGAATTTTGAAAAACTGTATCTCATATACATTTTAAAGTTGACATTTAAATAGTTCCTATTTTAATTAGTTGCAAATGATAGGATTTCCAGTGTGTAAATATTTATATAACTCTAAAAACTAGATTATTTTATGTGTATACAATATAAATGTCACAATGATTTAATACCTATTATCTGTGGAGGAATAAATTAGGAAGCCTCTTCAATAGTCTAGTGCAATTTCTTTTTCTTCTTGAAATTGAATTTCCATTCCTCACACAATTTTGTGTTTTTGTTTTTGTTTTGAGACAGAGTCTCACTATACTAGCTGAGGCTGGCCTTGAACTCACTGTTTAGTCCAGGCTGGCCTCTTTCCTCCACCTTCTGAGTGCTGGGTTATAGGCATGCACCAATGATTTTATCTTAATATAATGCTGTTTTCAGTTTGTAGTCTTTTATTGATCACTTAACTGTACTTATCTGCTACAAATATGTATATAAGTTTTTTCCTGGCAAGAATTTTAATAAATTTAATGGTGTTATGGACAACATAAAAAATGGGTATAATATATATGACATCATCACTTTATATCAAGGGAAAATGTCTTGCATTGGGAACAGTATATGTCCTGGTGACAGAATTCTAAGTGGCTGATATATTCTGTCCACCCCATGAGGGACCCACTGGAACTTTGGTGAATTTGTTTATATCATAGTACAAAGGCCTCTTTGCCTGAGAGATGCACAGAAGAGGTAAAGGGAACATATCAAAAGGATAGGGGTAAGGTGGAGAACCAGTGCAGGAAGCATTCCCTTGGGTCTCTGCTCCCAGGGCTCAGAACTTCAGGGGAATGACAGGCCAGTACTTGAGCTGCTCCTCAAAGCTCAGCTTATCTTAGCCTGGTGGCACTCACTAGGCCCCTCCATTGGGGGCCTGTTGTAGTGCGGTGAATGTAGTATAGGCTGTGGTCAGCGATTATGTGGTCCTCCAGACACTTGGCATCTAGCTGCTGCCACCCTGTGGCTCTTCTCTGCGCTTCTTTGTCTCCACAAAGTGCTGACAGAGCTCATCGGCGATTTCCACAGTGCTCAGGTTGCATTCTACCTCCTCATCTGACTCTGTCTCCATTTCTTCCTCTTTGGACAAAGCTTGATCTTTGAATGCCTGGGTTCTACTGCAGTCTTGTGGAGGGTTCCCCACAAGCTTAAGTAGGATTTCATAGCCTTCCTATATGCATTCTGATGACTTCACATCTAAGCCATTGCTTGATAATAATGTTGTCAGTATCTTTCATAGGTCAAATGAGGATATCAAGACATGGTAGCTTTCAGTGTTGATGCATTTGCTGCCATCTCTGATTAGGAGAGTCCACGTAGGCACTGAAACTTGTGGCTACTCAGCTTTTGCAGCTCCCCCAGCGGTAGGTGCACAGATGGGGGCAGGGAGGCCTGTTCATAATTTTTTAATTGATTGAGGTCATAAAGCACTAACATTTTTCTTCTCAACTTGCCATCACTGTTATCCTAATTGGCCAGGCACAAGATAGGTGTGATTACAGGCTCACACCTGTAATCCTAACTACTCAGGAGGCAGCAATCAGGAGGATTGAGGTTTGAAGCCAGCCTGGGCAAATAATTCTCAAGAAAATACCCAACACAGAAAAGGGCTGGCAGAGTGGCTCAAGTGGTAGAGCAACTGTCTAGCAAGTGTGAGGTCTTGTGCTCAAATCCCAGTACTGCCAAAAACAAAACAATTATCCTAATAAGTTAATTGATTAAAATAATAAAAGCACATCAAAACTTTTGATAGCTATTAACTGTTTTGGAAGCATCTCAGTGAATTGGGAGTTAGGAGGTTGTTTATGCTGCATTGACTAAAAATGGACTCACAATTCTCTCTTCTTTGGTAACTGCCTACAAAGGTGGCTGCATATCCTATTTGGCATCATGGCAGCCCTCAGACCTCTTGTGGAGCCTACAATCCTCAAAAAGAAAACAAAAATGTTCATGCAGCATCAGACTGATAAATTAAAATTAAGTGTAACTAGCAGAAAACCAGAGGTATTGACAACAGGGGACAGATCTTAGTTTATGGGAGTTGCTCATTGGCTTCTGGAAGGCTCTGGTCCACAGTATCAAGGAGCTGGAAGTGCTGCTATAATGTACAACAAATCTTGCTGTCTGAGATTACTCACAGTGTTCCCAGCATGAAGAGAGCAGCCAATTGGCCATGAAAGTCACCAATCGCAATGTTAGCTACACACCAAAAAAAAAAAAAAAAGAACAGATGGTTCATGAGCATGGTTTATTTTGTTTAAATAAAACTATAAAAGCCAGGTGCCTGTGGCTCACACACATAATCCTAGCTACTTGGCGGAGGTGGGGGTTGCTGAGATTGGGAGGATCACAGTTCTAGGCTAGACTGCACAAACAGTTCTGGAGACCCCCATCTTCAAAATAACCAGAGTAAAATGGTTTGGAGGTGTGGCTCAAGCATAGAGTGTTTGCTTTGCAAGAATGAAGCCCTGAGTTCAAACTCTACTACATACAACTATAAAATTGTCAAATAAAACAATTATAAACTCACAACAGTATTTTGAAGTGTTTATTTTTTTTTGATTTTGAAATTTCTGTATTACCTAGTAATTCACCATGATGTAACTTGGGAGAATAAAAGAAATGCATTTGTATGAGTGTGTGTGTGTGTGTGTGTGTGTGTGTGTGTGTGTGTGTGTGTGTGTGTGTGTGTATGGAGGGAGAAGGATATTTGTGAAAGAGAAAAGTTGAGAAAGAAAGTTAGCTCTCTGAGAAAAGTTGTTGGTTTTATTGATAAAATCCATTAGAATGTATGCTTTATGAATAAGCACACGGATTTTTAAAAATATCTTTCACTTGTTCATGACTATATTCAAGGCCCAGAACAGGGACTGGCATACAACAGGCATCAATAAACATTTGAGGAATGAATAACTGGATAATTTGTGGAAGCAAAAATTGCTATATTTCACAATCAAGAAATTTTATATGATAACTACTATATTTTCCTAGGGTTTGTGTGAGTGGGTTTCCACGGCAACACGAAAAACACTGGAAGGAGCTCTGTGGTCGAATAGTTTTGGATCCTGAATTTATGGTGCAACTTCTCACTGGGGTTTATTATGCTATGTGAGTAGATGGAATATGAAATTGTGTAACTTCTTCATACTATTGGGAATTTCTCTTTTTATATTTCTCTTTTTGCCTTATAAGACACAACGTGTAATCTTTTGTTCCATGGTAGGCCTGTTACCTTGTTTTCCTAATATGATTTTTTTTCAGTACTTTAAAATAGCCAACATATAACACAACTAGTCATTAAATTGGAGTCATCTTAGAAATTGTCAGGTTTATGGAAAATTATTTATGAATCTATGTATTTCATAACCCAAGTTTTCATGAATGTATTAGATTACTTTGAATATCAACACATGGTAAAAACTAGTTTATAAGAAACATCTGTAAACTACTTTAAACATAGTGTTTGAAATTTTCATTTTACTATAACCAAAACTAGGACAGTTTAGAAATAAAATAACTTAAGAACAATTGACATGAAAATCTTGTTTTATAAGCAAAATAGTAGAACTTGGAACAATAAAAAAAAAAGCTGTGTTGAAGATTAGAGATATTACTAATGACAGTAAATTATCTATTTTTTCACAGGTATAATGGACAGTGGGACCTTGGCCAGGAAGTACTTGATGACATCATTTATAGAGCTCAGCTAGAACTCTTTTCTCAGCCACTCTTGGTAAGTTATTTTACATATTTTTTTTTCCATAAAACAGAGGTTTGTTTAACTTATACTTGTAGAGGCTTATTTACTCTTTATTAAGCATACCTATGCCTAAAAATGGCATTACTGAGTTAGAGAGAGAATGAATAAAAGTAAAATTAAAATAAATTGAAAAATTAATACTTTAACATTCTTTAGGAAAAAACATTTTTAAATATATTTTCAAACCTCAAGAAAAAAATGGTTTTAGATTTAATTGATTGGACAAATTATTAAAAAGAGATTGATTCCCCCCACATAAACATTAAATTCTAAAACATTTTTGTTTTTAAAAAGCAAAATTAATGCACAGTACAGAAACTAAAAAATAATCTCAATAGACATGATAGAAAAAGTCACTTACAAGTTTATTCCATATCAAAGATTTCATACTCCCCTATAAAATAAGTAAATGTTAAAAAATGTAAACAATTAAAAGACAAATGTGAACATTCAATAAGAGGAGAATGAGGAAAGCATTCTTTATTTTATGGTCACAACTCTGACCATCCCTCTGTAGTAGTTTGATAACATATGTTCAGTTTTTTTTAATTCTCTATCCCATGTTTAGCAGTGTATCCCAGAAAGTAAACACCAAACATCATACACACACACACACACACACACACACACGCACACACGTATTGTAGTGTCATTTTTAATTGTAAAGGAATAAAAATAATCTAAATGTTCCACAGCAGAAAATAATTGAGATTGTATGATATTTACTTGACGAAATAATGTATTTGAGAGTTTTTATTAAAGAAAAACACAAGCTTGTGGTTAAGTAAAAAAGCAGTTTATTGCGATTTTAAATCAAGGCAGTATAGAGGAAGCATAAAATGCTAACAGTTGTCTAATAGGTGATTTGACTGTGGATGAGTTTTTCTTTGTTTCTTACAGTTTTGATTTTTGAAACAGGGTCTCACTATGTAGCTCAGACTGACTTCAAACTTGTGATCTTCCTGCTTTGGTCTCCCAAATGCTGGGATTATAGGCATACCTAGCAGAATTTTTATTTCTTTCCAGTTTTCTAAATTTTTCATAGTATTTTTATAATGGTATTTAAAAAATGCTATTTATGCATTTTCTACTTGCCAGTACCTTTTTTTTTT